GTAATAGATTGACAGAACTCCTTACTTGTAAAGGACATATATTTTAATACTCTTAATTTGTCCAGATGGTACCAGAAATTATATGTGAAATTCTTCCCCAAGGTCCATAAAGTGCAGTGAAGAGTATATCTATGTTTGGTCAACATATTGTTGGGAGCAGCTTTCCTCTTCAATTAAAAGAATAAAGAAAAACAACCAAAAAAGATTCAATCAACTTCAGGACAAGACATTGAAGAGCTTTCTATGCATCGTCCCAGTCCAAGGACTGACCCCAGATGTTGCTTCGCTTGTTAAGAATAGTACGTAAACAATTAATTTCATATAGTGTTGTTGTTGAACGGAATAGAATTTTCCGTTTCTTGTTAAACTTCAAGGTTTCTTTCTGAGTATGAGCCCTCCGCTCCCCAACCGAACCGCTCCCTGCTTCGGCTATCAGCGCCGAATTGTCGCCCAAGGCCAACCCCAACGCCAACGCCAGATCGCGCCTCGAGGGCGCATAGTTCGCCAGGCGCCGGTAGCCTGTGTCGACAGCAGTCTGCGCCCGTCGGACTCCGCTAGTGCTTGCGCTGGCTGGCGTGCAGTTGTAGTTGGAACAGCCTGTTCTCGTTCATGTTCTAGTGTCTGTTATTGGAGTGTGAAGTTCCCTTGCTAGAAATATTTTTGGAATTAAAATTATCGGATATTAATTGACATGAACGTACATTTTGTTATGTTTATGAACTGTTTTTTCCAAATTTTAATTGAAATTTCTCGAGAATTTGTGTTTGCCGTCGGAAGAAAGAATAATTCAATACACATATATCAACACTCATAAGGTAAGAGAATAATTCTTTTGAAATATATTACATTGAATTTAACTCTAAATATATAATACATTATCCTAGACATTAATCGTATTAAAAACTAAATTAAGATTGCATTACTAAGAATTGCGCTGCATTAATATTTGTTTCATTATAAACAATGATATTGTCAGTTAACTACTCAAGTAGTCTAGAAAAATTAGTATTATTCATGAAACATTTTTGAGATGACAATAATGTTTTTTTGTTGTTGTTGTTCTGAGAGAAGAAAATTACCATAAAAACATTTTTATGAGACCAAATCAAGAGATCAAGAGAAATCAAATTCTTATTTCATTAGTCAAAACAAAAAGAATGATCATTCTAATTAGGATTAATTTAAGGATAAAATTATGATCAGATGATGGGTTTTATGGAAATTGAATGGTATTAATTATTAAATCTGAACATTATTTAGGATATAAAACAATTAAAATGTTTTTTTTATTTTTTACCTTCAAAGAAGAAAGAAAAAATCCCCATGGGTTTTTTCTATGTTTTGTGATGAAAATGGTAAAATTATGAAGGCACTTATAAATGCCATGCTGCATAATTTGCACTGGTGTAGTTAAAACTATTCTAAGATATTAATAATTGCGCAAAAGGAAATGTGCGAGTACTGCACCTTTGCAGTCAGTAGAAGGAAAGCCTTTCACAGAGAGTTCTCAACTAACAATTTTGTTTTATTGAATGAAAAAATGTCAAATTCTGTTCATAATAATTATATTGTTGGATTTGATTTTGGGAAACAAAATCAAAAATTTGTTCAGTAGTATGTTTCTGAAATCTTATGTAATATTGAAAATGGCTCCCAAAAATACCCGAAAGAAAAAGTTGAAGATTGAATTTTTTGTAAACATTTTAATAATACTGCAGTTGATTTGTTTTCTGACACTTCTTGATTGCTGAAATTAAAAAAATGTGTTTACAAATATTCAATAAATGAGAATACGGTACTCCAAAGTAGCCTGTTATTGGTTTTTGGGTTTCTTTTGCAATTATTAGTCTTTCGTTTTTACTATAGACTTCCAATTAATGAGACCTTTTTGAATTGAATATCATGTGGACTCTAAACTATGATTACTAGTTCAACTCTGGTAATTGAGGCGAGAATTTTTAATTGAGTAACGAATATTAAAGGGTGGAGTAATTAACGAAAGGTAATGTGTAATGAATAAATGTTTTCTTCATAATGAATAAATTTTTAATTTTTAATGAATTGAGGGATAACATATCCAAAGAAAATACTTTTTCTTGTGTGTTGTCTATATTTGGTACACCTGATTAGACAAATATATAAAATATGTATTGAAATAATAAACCAAAAAGAAAGAAAAAAAAGGAAGAAGAAGAGTTCAACTCATATGGGTGAATTTTATAATAAATATGGCTAATTTTTTCACTGCATTCTTAGGAGGAAGGTATATTTTTCATGGTAATATCATCATTGCATTGGAGAATATATTGGCATCAAGCAGTTTACCATTTGAACATGTACATTAATTCAGCACTGGGAATGACTTAAAGAATTCTATAAAGGACAGAGACGTCTCCTAAGTATATTCACTGGCGATATTAAAATATAATATTTTATTGATGCCTTTCATTCTCATTTGCAATGTAAAACACACTAGTTGAGCATGGAAAACTTTTCTATTTAATTTGCTAAACACTGTTCATTTATATAATACTTCTTAGGAAGTACTTCTTCCTTTTTCTTAATTTCTGGTTAATCACATTGTGAAAATACTAGAATTTTTCAGTGAGTTTACTAAAATGCATAGGTACTTATTTCCACCACAGAAAATTTAATGGACTTTGTAACTTATGATTTGAAAATTATTATATGATGATTGAGAAATCAAATTCTTATTTCATTAGTCAAAACAAAAAGAATGATCATTCTAATTAGGATTAATTTAAGGATAAAATTATGATCAGATGATGGGTTTTATGGAAATTGAATGGTATTAATTATTAAATCTGAACATTATTTAGGATATAAAACAATTAAAATGTTTTTTTTATTTTTTACCTTCAAAGAAGAAAGAAAAAATCCCCATGGGTTTTTTCTATGTTTTGTGATGAAAATGGTAAAATTATGAAGGCACTTATAAATGCCATGCTGCATAATTTGCACTGGTGTAGTGTGTAACTTTCTTTTCTGAAAAGAAAATTTAATTTTTATATGGCAAAGAAAATAGTAATAAATTTGAACTTTTTGATAATAAATGGATTATTGAAAAAAGGTGAATTATGAAATTACAAGTGAAAAAACCCTGAAGTATTTGAAAATAAGTTTAAAATGTTATTTTCATTTAAAATTGAATTCTCTGAAAACTGAATGAAACCTGAAACGGTGATTGGCCTTAGATTGTGCTGTTGGTTCTGTTGAAATAAAATGATTCTGATCATATTTCATGTTATAAACATGTTACACACATTCAGATACTTGATTACTTTTTTAAGCTTGGGCAGTATGAGTTATTTTTCTCTATATAGTAGGTAATGTCTTTGAATTTGAAATTGTGTTTCCAGTATATATTTGTTTATTCTCGTTTTCCTTAAAAGTGCATAATTTCTTATGGAAGATATGATAAATGTAAAAAGTCACTTGTTTTTCACTGCTAACTAATTAAGTGTGACAAAGAATTATGTGTTATTTTATAATATTATAAAATTATGTATTAATATGTCAGTGCTATGTAGAAAAAAATATATTTCACTGTGTACATTAGTATTTAGACTCAATTCTCAAACAAATTAGGTGATATGAAATTTATTTTTCTTCCTTTGAAACTTGTCTATTTACGTTTTCTGTTTCTCTCTGATCTTCTTCAAAAACAATAAGTTAAACAACACTAATTTATTATGTTGAAAAATAGCTCATGGTGAAAGTCATTCAAAGCATATATTTGTATGTTTCAAAAGTAGTACCTTATAAGTAGATAAGTATGATATATATTCACTTTAAATATTTTATGTACCTAAAATATACTTGGTGACATTAAATTAGAAATTGTTTGTGATGTTTATATTAAACAATTCATTCAAAATATTTGCAGTCATATTTTGTTTTTGTGGAAAGTTTAAAGTTGAAAGAATAGTTCTGTTTGAACAACATGCATTTATTTCAATAATTATTTCCTGAAATAATTTTCATGTCAATATTAGTTTATCTCTATTAAAAAATTGTATTTCTTTCTTCTTTAAAATTGGAAACAATACTCAATTCAAGAATATAATATTAAACCCCTCCCGTGTATATTCTGTCCCAGCACATAGTTGACTTCTTTTTGTTTACAATGAAGATGTCTGACATTATAATAGTGTATCAAACTTTTAATGGACTATTTAGCTTTCTATCAGTTATATTTGGCTCCCCAATAATGTGTGCAGAAATACCTCATTAATTAATTTAAAAGAAATCTAATGAATTCAATGAAGAATTAATCCACAATCTTCAAGTCATAACCATTTTTTTTGGTGAGTGTTTTGTAGATAATAATTACAATTTATTGTGGGTAATAGATGTAAACATTTCAGATGCTTTAATATAATATTAAAATACCATAAAGGCACTTAGACACTGTGGTATTTCTTTGTATACAACCAGAAAATAACTATGCTTGACCATGTTTACTGCAAGCAGATCACATCAGACTGATTTAGCAACTGGCAATTATGCCAGGTTGGGAACTGTGCAAACAGGAAGCAAAAGCTTTTAGCAAGCATGCTCCCATCATTTCTTACTACAAGGCAATACCACCGATGTGACCCATCTTTATGGTAGTCAATGACTGCAGTAAAAACAATAAAAATAGAATACCTACTTCAATAATTGCATCACAGATAGATTTATAATGTAAAAGAGGTGACCTATTTAGTTTCCAGTTCCTGAAAATCTCTTAGGTTACAATCAGCAATACCTTCTTTGCATATAAAAATTTTTGAAACACTTTGCAGCATTTATTGATTACAAAGTACACATTGTTTTTATTATAAATGGAAATTATTCTTTCTATTAATGTAACAGTGAATGTGATATTACATTTCAGGTAAAGAACCTTGTTTTTATTGAGATATTGATATCTCATCTTAATGATGATTAAAAAGTGAATTACAAAATTGATAGTAAAATAAAAAATTTCATTCTCGTGCTCTATAGTTGAATATAAACAACTCACTTTCAGTTTTTAATGTATGTTACATGGTATGTTAAAAATTTAAATACCTACAAATAAAAGGACTTATAATTCATATTCATTATTTTCTTCTATTCATAGAGAGCACATGAAAAAAAGCATTTATGGCCAATAGCTTGAAAGGTTTGATTGTGCTCTATTAAATTTATTATATCTTCATCATCTTCTAAAGATTCTCTATAGTGATCTGAAGAATTTGCTTTGCGTTTAGAGTTGTCATCATTAATTTTGGTTGCTTGCATACTTGTATCACTTGTTTTAATTTCTTGAAGAAAATCTGCTTTTGACAATTCTTGTAGTAGTTTATTTGATTTTGATTGTTCATCAGATTCAATTTCTGGCAAGTTTTTAAAATAATATAGTAATTATTTAGTTGATCATCTATCTGCAAAGTAGAATATTTCTAATGTATAGAAATATCTACTTACCAGGGCTTGCTGCTGTGATATTATTGAAGTAAGATGAAGTGCATATCACGCTCTTCGATGTCTCGTTTCTAGCAGGGTAGGTGCTACAATGTAGATCACGAAAATCTTTTAGCAAAGAGTCTTTCTTTCGCTTTTCTCCAGGCTAAAAAAAAATGTTGAAAAATTATTATTTCAATAGTTAAAAAAGGAATTTTTAAGGCAGGTTTAAAATGAAGTATATAATAGACGTTTATTTTCTACACGTTATTTTTACGGTGAAATGAACACACGTTTTTACTTTAATGCATATTTGTAAATTCACAGTAGGCATATAGAACGTACGTAGCATGAATAAGCATAGCATAGATATTATGTAGCATTTTGTAATGCCACAAAAAATCTTCAGCGAGATTTTATGGGAAATATTGGGAGTCTCTAATATCGAAAAAAGGTAATTTCCCAAACACATCAATGCCGTCGGTTTGAACAACGCGTAGGTTTCGTAAGTTTTTCTCGAAAATTATAGTTCTGTGATCGCTTTGTCTAAACTTTAACTCCTGCGAATTTGAAATGAATATTGTAACACGTGACTGCCATGTAAGATCACATTGTCTCGTGCAGACTTCAATTAAAATTTTCCGCGAAACCATGTGTTGTCTTCGCATCAGTAAAAAGTTTTTGAAAATGACCTTGGTAGTCAACATGTTAATATTAACAGGTAATTTATTTGAAGCTCGTAGGAAACTTCTCATTTTATACTCAAATATTGTCCTGAATTATTTTATTTATTTGTGGATAATAGGGAAAGAAAAGCATAAAAATAGGAATGCAAGGAAGCAAATTACCTGTCTTGAATTTATATTTTCGGTCACTTCCCCCATCAGTTCGGATTTCTCAGCAGCATCATCTTGAAACTGCTTTCTGGTTAATGAGTTTCCAAAGAGTGGCATTTTGCTATAAATTACCTTGTTTTCCAGTATTGAAATTAAAACTTTGTCTGTAGTGCCCAAGACATAATTCAAATATTGGGAATGAAAAGCTCCAATTTCATAAGTATTTTACAATTATTTTTGTTGCTGAAAAAACATAACTGCGTGTGTTAAATAATTAATTTTGTACATTCGTTTGAATAGTGATGTATAAAATACGTCATATTAAGATGCAATTTAGTTATAATATATATTCAGTATAAACTGCATACAGTGCATATATTCAGAATGTACCTGATGTAGTCTATGCATGCGGCACTTGCGAAATTTTGCTTGCTTTTCTTTCGTGTCTTGTAAATTCTGAGACGTAAGACCGACGATTATTTATAGTACTAATGAAGTAAGGAGCAAGGGAGAAACACAGATGCTCATTATTAGAGTTACACACGTTAACTTTTGTTTGCTAGTCCGAATTCATGGTTCCAACTTTTTGTTATTGATTAAAATCGATTTCTTTCTTGACTTTCGAGTTTCGATTGTTCAGCAAATTCAATTGCAGTATGGACGTCTTCGGAACTAATATAATGTATTAATTTATAACGCAACTCAATGCCTGTAAGAATGAATAATACAATAGAGCGGTACGTAAATAGTTTTTTTTATGGAGAAGAGAGGGCTGGACATAGAAGGTCAGTTAAGGGAATGTTAACTAAAAATAAACTTTACATTTAGTTTGTACTTATGTTTGTATTAATGTACGTTATTTGATTAAACTAGATTACCGTTACATTACAATTTAAAATAAGAGTGCATTAGCATTAATTGTTTAATAATTAGACTTCTCGTGAATGAAATGTTACGTGACTCTCGAGAATACATTATTTTAGTAGCTATGTAAACAAAAGTGCATGAGAAAGTTCGAAGAACCTAAATATTGCAAGCACGCTCAAAGGGAACACGTCTTTGTTTTGAGACGGAGTTGAGTTGTGAGACATTGTTTTGTCGCGGATTTGTAAACAAACTGATCCTTGTATTTTAATTAGGATGCATATTTTTATTTACAATATTTATTCAAACATTTGATAAATTTGCATAATTTTAGCACATACATGAAGTATTCATGTATTGACGGGACTCTTTCAATAAGAATATTACTGAAGAGTAAAACCTCGTCCTAAATGGAAATTTTCATTGAAACATTTGGTGCCGTTTTTAAGAACATTGCGTTTAAGCGATTGTATACTATGCGAAATTTGAAACTTTTTCACAGAAATATTTCGTTTTCGAAAAACTTCATTAGAACTCATTTGAAGCATTTTAACTCACAAATAGTTTTTAAAAATTGCTGGAAATGTCCATATTAACGGCCTGAGAGGTACAAAAAAGTGTATATCTTGAAAAAACAAAAAATTCCCCGAAATTAACTTTATATACCATTAAAGAGAGCGATTAGCACTATTAGTTGGAAGAGTTTGAAGAAAAATATCGGAGCCATTTTTGAGAAATTGGCGTTTCAGAGTTTCTCAAAATGTGGATTTTGAGCTCGTTTTCACAGAAAACTGTTGAGTTCTCGAGAAACTTTATAGGACATTATTTATAGCACATGCACTCATAAATGTAGTAATGTGAACAAGTCGCCGCTAATGTAAAATTTAACGCGTGAGAGAAAGTTAAAAAATACATTTTTTAAATTTGTGATAAAAACAAAAGAATAAATAAATATGACATTTATGTTATATTATAGAGTACATTTATCTCTATCGTTACTAGAAATTTAAAGAAAAAAATTGGAGCAGTGTTTGAGAAAATCTTGTTATTTTTAATATTGCTCACATTGCACGCAATGCTTTCGCGAAAACTCCTAAAAGATTCAAACAATTAATGAAAGAACCTTAATGAAAGAACTGAACATGGAGATAAAATGTTTTTGGACGAAAAAATCCCTATCTTCAATTTTGTAGTTACAACCTTCCTACAGGAAAGCGCCGGAAAAATTCAAACTTTTGAAATTTTTCGAAAATTCAGAGTTAACAGAGAAAAACGGACCAATACCATTTTATAAGTGTATTTTACTCTATTCTTTCAAAAAAATTAAAGAAAAAAATTGAAGCCATTTTAGAGAAATTTTTGAAAATGTCCCAGGGTCTTAATGTACTATACCCCCAAAGTTTAAAGAATGCTTTTCAAAATTACAGCTCTTCGAGTTGAGCCAAATCAAGTGGGAAATATCTATTTTGGAAAAGTGCTACGTAGGGTTTAGGCGCTAGTGGTGGTCACGGACGGACGGACGGACGGACGGACGGACGG